TGGAAGGCGGTGGCTGGGGTGGTGGCGTGTGGGAGGGGGTGGTGCGGGTGGGGTGTGGAGGGTGTGGTGTAGTGGGTGTGGAACGGGGGTGGTGGGGTGGGTGTGGGAGGGGGTGTGGGTGGGTGGGTGGGGTGTGAGAAAGGGTGTGTGGGGGGTCGGTGTGGGAGGGTGGTAGAGTAGGATGTGGGAGGGGTTTGGTTCGGGTGGGGTGTGGGTAGGGTGTGGTAAGGTGGGAGTGGGAGGGGTGTGTGGTGTGGGCTGTGTTAAGGGTTTGTTGGGGTGGGTGTGCGAAGGAGTGGTGGGCTGGGGGTGGGATGTGGGAGGGGGTGGTGGGGTGGGATGTGGGAGGGGGTGGTGGGGTGGGGTGTGGGAGGGAGTGGAGTGGTGGGGTGTGGGAGGCACTGGTGGGGGTGGTGGGATGGGGTGTGGGAGGATGTGGTGGTGGTGGGGGTGGTGGGATGGGGTGTGGGAGGTGGTGGTGGTGGTGGGGGTGGTGGGAGGGGGTACTGCCTAATGACTGGCTATTGCTCAATGGCTTAGCAAGCTTGGTGCAGCAGACGCAGCAATAACGACGCTATATGGCAGCGCTATAGCATAATCCTCACGTTTACGAGCGCCCGTAAGGTAAACAAAGAATAACGTGATCACGTCCGTTGTCAAATTACGAAAATGACTAATAGCATAGCCGTCGTCATCGTCGTCGTCGTCGTCGTCGTCTCGTATTACCGACATGTTTTATCGGAATCGACGTTGGCAGTACTAACACCAGCGCTAGTGCGTCGGCGTCGTCGTGGTCCCGTTTCTCATTAAATACGATTCGACGTTTTAGTATTATAAACAAAGTAATTATCGGCGTTGTCGCCGTCGTCGCAACACACCCACGCGCTGCTATGACAACAACGTTACCGGTTCCCGTCGGATATCTACGTGGGCGTGATTAAATTTTGTCCGTGATTCAAAGATCCGTGTCAAATATTGCGACCGTTTATGGCGAGGGTTATGACGATACTACATATAGGCAGGCCCACAAGCGACATGCTTCTCCTTCAACTGGCTAGACGGATATTTGATTGTCGATTTTAGAAAATGAAGTTTCTGTCTTGACTATCGGCGTAACGAAGTCTGAGCGGGGAAAAAAATGCGCCGCCATAATGTAATTTTATGGCATTTGTTCGTCGTCTGCGTGTTTCTTCCTAAAGTGTTTACCTTTAGCAAGAAATATTTCGCCACGGACTTGCAAATAGGTTTGGTAAAGATGAGAAGTACTGTCGACTCGCAGAGATATTCGTACCAAGCGACACAGCAATGAATAAAACCGGAGTGAACAAGCCGCTCAAAAGAACACTACATACAATTGGCAGAGCGGCAGTGGATGAGAGTTGCTGATATAAATAGATTAACCATACGCGATTTCGAGAGAAATTCATGCGAAAGCTCAAAGAAAGATCATTAAATTTTTATAACTGACCGCACGCACGCTGCACGAGGCATTTAATGGACTCGGCAGCAGCATAAGAGTTGTATCGCCACTATTGTTGCGTCGTTCGCGACAACCCGCACGAATCGCAACCACGTCTGCATGGCAGTATTTCGCTGCCGTACGTCTCAGACGCGACATCAGAAGAAACGAACGCCCCCTCGAGTTGATGAAATTAAATTATCGATTCCAATTTTTTTCCCCGGAGTTTGCGCGTGACTTCGCCCCCACAGCGATTTCGTAATTTTTATGCCGTCTGTTAATTAGATTCGGGCCCCTATGAACTGGCAGGTAATTATTTCTGTAACATCGATGATCATTAGCGTTCTAGTGAAACCTTTTCTAGATCAACGAGATTCTGTCGTGTCAAGCGAACGCTGCGTGCATGCATACTCCGCCATTAGACAAAACACACGAACATTCCAACTTTCTACGCAGCGAAAATCTATAACAGTTCGCGGAATACGTCATTCTATAGCCGGCGCGGCGTAATACAATTATGTATTAATAAAATAAACGGCGCATTTCCTCGCATGAAATATTTAAACATTCGAGAGCGAGCCATGCAAACGGACGACGACCCCTCCCCCCTTCGTTCTATCTTCATCACAACGGAGAGCACGCGAATGGTTTCGTCTTATTATTGATGCATTTGTTCGGCGTGATAGCGAGCGGCTAAATTTGAGAGACCCCAGCTACAGCGCTTGGCTAGCTCCTCCCTCTCAGGGGCCCCGGCATATTAGCCTATATCCGCTTGAACCCGAGACGTGGAATCAAACACTAGCTGTAACGCAAGCCCCATCGCATACTCCGGTATGCCGGTTATGTCTTACGCGCACAGCGAGAGAGAACGTCGAATGACGTCATCGTTCTGATTACACGCACTATTATATTGCGTCGCAGTCTTACTCTTGTTTCCGAAAGCTATACAGTAGAAGTCCAGAAATCCTGATGCCAGAAATCCGGATCACCCGAGAATCCGGACTTTTCGAAAACTCAAATTTTACTCTCTGCTTAATAAACTAAAAATAAATAATTAATTTGCATAAAACAACTTCCGCTTTCATTTGTTTAGTGTATTTTTCTTTTGCACTGTTCATTTTAAACATGATTTCAAGCATTACACGCTCTTTGTAGTGAAAAGTTTTTATGTTTACATTTTTGTCAAGTGTTTACTTCATTTTACTTTAAACCTGCGCGTTTTGATAAACGAAGCATGCTGTATTCGCTAATGAATAAACTATAAAAATTTACCTGCTTATCTCTTCCTTATTACTTGAATTCTAAAGTACTTCCCGAGAATCCGGAAAATTCGAAAATTCGGACCGACCCAATCCCCGAGCAGTCCATATTTCTGGACTTCTACTGTAATAGAAGACGCGACTACTATGTACCGTGGATCTAAGTATACGGGACTCGTGCAACGTAGTCGTTTATCGCGCAGTCAATAAATCGACAATAAAAATTTGTGCTCGTCGCTACATGCAGGATAAGTCGAGAGATAGTCGACACGGCAAGTTGTTTATGCGAAAGGCCGGCGTCGGATTTTCCGCGTTTGAAATATATCGACGTTAAGTTAGGTGCAGGTAGGATTACAAAGGGAAATCGTATTTATATACGTCCGCACCAGCCAGCACGATCGAAGTTTCCTAGACTATATCCTTTATGTGGGTGGCACACAGTATTTCCCGTTTGTCCTTTTCCTATCGGCACCTGTTCTTTCGGCCCACCTGTCACGGAGCAAGAATTGTTACTCGTTAACCACTACACGTCGGGTGGCACGCCCTTGCGGGAGAACACGGCAGAATCCCCACTGCTTTACGTAAATGCATAATAGTTACACTTTCCACCACAAGAATAGCGGTTTTTCCCGCTCGCCGCTGAACTGTAAAGCGAATGACTGCATTCGAATACAGCCGAAATTGCACGAAATCATGCACGTGTGCGCGGCTACCGCGCGTATGTTGCCGACACAATGCAAAACACGGCGCCGGAATTTTCATAAAACCTCCCAAATTGTGGCTTTCGGTTGAGTCCGCCAATGCGTGCACTGACCCGTCTCAAATAGCACCGCATAAACTCGTTCACCACCGCTCCCTATTTAATTTAATTTTTCCTCCTTCCGACGCAGCATCGTCAAATATGGCGTCTATGGAATCACGCTCCGTAATGTCATTCATTCCCCGTGCGCGCGCGCGCGTGTGTATTATAGGTGCGTATACGTGCGTATACGTACGCGCGGGCAGACACGCTGGTGCATGGTCTCGCGTGGGGGCAAGGAGGTGGGATGTCGGTAATTGGAAACAGTGATGCAATCAACGGCGTTCCTCATGGCAACAGATATTGCCATTTAACGCATTACGCGTATAGCTACGTAATCAGTGCTGTTGTATATTTTATTAGCCGCGCTCTCGCGCTGTTCGGCTTGCAGCGTCCGTGCGTGTCATTACGCCACCGAATTCATGAATCCTGGGGTGACCGCAGGCATATCGGACCTACCGTGCAGGCCAAGCAACTATAACACTCGCTAACATACCATATACCATTCAGCTGTGTGTGTGTGCGTGTGTGTGTTTGAATGTTATACATTGAATGTATAAGCGCATGGCATCATCACACCTACTGGCCCCCACAATGTGTGTGTGTGTGTGTGTGTGTGTGTGTGTGTGTGTGTGTGTGTGTGTGTGTGTGTGTGTGTGTGTGTGTGCGTGCGTCCGTGTGTGTGCGTGCGTCCGTGTGTGTGTGTTGTGTGGTTGTGTGTGCGTGTTTGTGTATGTGTGTATGCGTCCGTGTGTGTGCGTGCGTCCGCGTGTGTGCGTGCGTCCGTGTGTGTGCGTGCGCGAGTGCGTGCGTGCGTGCGTGCGTGCGTAAATTCCCCTTCGAGCGCAAGTCGACGCAAGCGCTACATGCGGCGGACACACGAGCACGCGCGCGAGTGTCGGCATCGCGACTGCCGCCTGCTGGCGCTGCTGGCGCTGCTGGCGCTGCCGTCGCTGCTGTCGCTCAGCCGACACTCGGGAGATACCCGGCGGATCGCGTAACGATCCGAAGTGATCTAATCCCATCACCTCCCATTCTTTCCCTCGAGGGAGGAGCCGCCTCTTGTTTCTTACGCGTGCGTCGGACAGGCAGACGACCAAGCGGAAGGCTGCTTGTAAAGTAGATCCGTGCAGCGAGCTTGCCGCGCAGTGCCGTCATCTTACGTGAGCAGTCGTTAGAGCAATAATTGCATCGCTGTGATAATAAAATGCTCATATCCTGACCGCGCTCGCGATTTTGCCATCCGGCAGCGGCGGCAGCGTAATGAAACGGCGAAATCACGTCAGTCATTGTCGCTGACTATTTACCCACGCTGTATACAACAAATGTTCAGCGTGCCATTACTAGGTAGTGCACATCGAGTGCTGGCGACTTTCGGTAAATACCGCTCAGCCAATCGCTGAGCGCGATCAAAGTCTGGGTGGTTTATCAGGTGACAGACGGCAGCGAGGGGCGCGCAAGAGACCTGCGCGAGATACCTGTCGCTGCTCCGCCGCACATAGACCTCTCATGCACGGGCTCAGTGCCACCAGTACCAACAGTGATCTCTCTGTGGAATAAACGCGGATATTACGTCGTGAATAAACCCTCGTATATATATCTATATATATATATCTATATATATACACGCATATATTTATGTACACGCATGTGCGTACACGTACACGTACGAGCCGTCGTGACGTCTTCGACGTGACCTTGAAGATGAAGACATCATCAGAGTTGTCGTCGCACGTGGAACTCGTCGCCGAGGCTTCGCTGGCCGACGTCGTCTGCTGTCGTCGTCGTCCTCGTCTGCTTACCCGCGGAGGCCGGTCGTCGGCCGGAGATCGTACGCGCTGAACACCGCGTTTAACTGTCGTCTGCAGTGCAGACGGACTACAGCAGGAGAGTGCATTTCATTGCGAGATTTTTTAGTGCAAACAACGAAGTCGGCGAGAGCCTTTCTGCACGCATGCATGCAGCCGTAGAGCCGAGAGCGAGCTAATAGGTATGTGTTTTGATAAACAGTCGTCGTCGAAAATCATCTACATGTCGGTCGTGCAACTATGGCTAGCAAGTTGCTGATGTGGAGACGCGTTGAGCCGACGGCTGTGCTGCTGCTGTTGCTGCTTGTCACCGATGCGGTGCTATCGTGTGGGCCCGGCCGAGGCGGCATGAGACGCAAGAGCTCGCACAAGCCGACGCCGCTCGTCTACAAGCAACATGTGCCGAACGTATCTGAGAATACGCTGGGAGCGAGCGGGTTGTACGAGGGACGCATCACGCGCGACGACCCGCGATTCAAAGAGTTGGCCGCTAACTACATCACGGACATTATCTTTAAGAACGAGGAAGGCACCGGCGCAGACCGACTCATGACACAGGTAATTAAGACTCTATACCCCGAAACCGCAATCGGAACCGTGATCGTAAACCTATCTCCAATCGTAACCCGAACCGTATATACGTAACTTTCGCTCTGACCTTCACCCTAGCCCTAACCGTTTACGTAACTTTAGCTCTAACCCTAACCCTAACCATAGCATATAATCATAGCAGAGTCGGCCTATATTATGTACTTGCAAGATAATTGGCCCAGAGATAAAAGATAAGTGTTAATGCATGATTGATAGAGGATTAAATAGACGATGAAACATATTGAACTTATTTTGAACCATTTATTTGAATCATATGCGTTAAGCGTATGTTATTGTTAACACATAACGTTATTGCTATATAGTATTTATTTGAATTCAAATCATATATGATTCTATTTAACATATATAATATATATGTTAAATAGAATCATATATGATTTGAATTCAAATTATGGGCCGAGTCCGTATAGGCCGAGTCTGTAATAGGCCGACTTCGTCAATGGGACGACACTGCTATGGGTCGGGTGGACCCGACGCCAGCTCGAACCTTAATCCTAACCCTAACCCTAACCCTAATCCTAACCTTAACCCTAACCCTAACCTTAACCCTAGCCGTAACCGTATAGGTAACTAGAGCTCTAATGATAATTCTAGCCCTAGTCGTATACGTAACTAGAGCTCTAATGATAATTCTAGCCCTAGTCGTAACCGTAACCGCAACCGTAACGAGATCTTTAACATATCCCTAACTGTGACCGTTACCCTAACCGCAACATTAGCTCTAACCCCAACCCTAGTCTTAATCATAACCCTATTCATAACTCCGACCCCGACACACTTAATCTGGGATGAAGTCTACTTTCACGGTTAGAGTTAGACTTACCTGTCAGGCTTAGCGTTAGTGTTTGTGTCAGTGTGGTAAGGCTTACAGTTAGGGTCAGGCGTTATGGTTACAAATGTGGTTAGAGAGCTGACGATGAGAATTTATGAGTACTGAAGTAGACATGAGCCTTAACTCTGTATGAATGAGAAGACTACGTCATGATACGCTTTACTTTAAATTCTAGCGGCTATTATGCAAGAGCAGATGCGACTCCCTGTCTCTACTACCATATATCTATATGCGTATGAATAATTAAAATAATGGCTGCGCACAGACAGGCGTTATCGACGTCGCAATCAACGAAGGTTTTAATTGAATAGGTAAGCCCTACGCGCAGTTTAATGTTAAACGAGTTTATAGGCGAACGCAGGAGAAACCGCTGCAAACATATTCGTCCCCTAATGAGAAAGATGCGTTGTAACACCTATTGCACTCAAAATAGTTGATAGCGCACAGTTCTACGTCGGGCGGTTTGCGTAGCTATACGCGTTGACAAGAGATACTTTGGGAAGGATTGTAGTCGAGTGTGCAACAACAGCCAGCAACTTAACACGACACCTGGAGCTTTGGCGAACTCTTTGTCATGGTAACACTCCTCCCTGCTCTCCTTTCGTCTCTCTCTCCGCTCTCTCTCTCTCTCTCTCTCTCTCTCTCTCTCTCTCTCGTCTTTCATCGCTTTACGCAAACACACAGATACGCACACACGAACGAACGAACGAACGCACCACACTCCGCCGCGCACGCACGGCACGCACGCCCACGCACGCACGTACGCCACGCACTCACGCACTCTCACGCAACACACACTAACGCGCGCGCGCGCAATCACGGGGCGTTTGTGCTGCTCACGAGGGCGCGCGTAAAGGCGGCTTAGTCAAAACCGCCGGTGAGAAAGCGCAGCAAGACAACGTTAGCTGCGACCGCACGCATTTTACACTTGGTCGACCTTTCGCGGGTGGAAGTATCCCCTGACAGATCAGGCACTTGGACACCGTCTCAATAAAAATAAATAGATGGCTGAATAGAAACACGAAAATGTATTACTACCAAAGTGCTTTAATGTTCTGTACTCTACTTTCGCTCTATGAATCACCCTGGGCTAAATGACGTCCAAATGCTCATCTGCCACCACACAAAGTACACCGCACGGCTTAGCTGCTGCACACTGACACATAAAGTATATGGTTATCGTGTCAGCTAGATGGGTGCAGAGCTAGCGTGCGGGCTGCGTGTACTTGTGGTGTTGCCGAGATGGATGAGCCATTTTTGAACGGCACACTACAGGAACATTGTCGCGGCAATAATAGGGGAAGAGAGTATGAGAACATTTAAAACTTTGCGGTGAGTAATAGGATTTTCGTATTTATTAGCGATTTATCATTTTATTTGAAACGCTCCAGAGTGCCCTGTGACTCGCACTTTGATTATGTTCAGTACAAATGCTCACGTACGAGGTTAAATAGCTAACGTACGGCCCGATTATCGAAATCGCACGGCGGTGACGCGGTATGGATCTCTAACGCAAACTGAGCTGTTTTCTCTGCTCGGTTTGAATGTAGATTTCGGCTACGAGGAGTATATGCTCGTCTGAGCATAATGACGAATCTTTTAACGGCCGTCTTAAACTATGACCTGGTTATTATACATCTATTAGCCGTCGCGTATTTTAACGCTGCCTTTCCTCGCGACACATTTATGACGTAACTCGGTTCTAGTCCGTTGCAGTGCGCTTACGCGTTGTTTAATCGTTAGTAGCCTCCTAAATTCTCTTAGTTTCTTTTAAATTCTTCTGATTGTACTATGCTGAGAGCGCAGAAGTAAGGTGCGTTATAGATGTGTCGCTAGTGAGTAGCAGAGAGAGGAACCGAGGGACCAGTGCTGAGAGCGAAGCCCGCCAGACGTAGATTGAAAAGCGTGAGCCCAAGAGGAGAGGGGTCGCCCAGAATAGAGAGGGTTTCGCATCTGAGAGAAGATTGGTCCCAGGGGAGCGAAGAGAGGGGGTCCGAGGAGGGAGGCGGTTTTCCGGCGGACGAAGGAGGTAACCCCCTCCAGGGGAAAGGGAGAGAGATGACCCACGGAGGGAATTTCCCGAGGAGAGGGGTCTTGAAGAAGTAGGGCGTCTCTTGCGGGCAAGACGGAGAGGGATTCCAAGGACGGAAGAAGAGGAGTCTGAAGCGATGGAAGAGGATAAAGAGAGAGAGAGAGCGCGCGAGAGGGAAAGAAAGCGAGAGGAAGAACGTGCGTGAGAGAGAATAAGAGTGTGCGAGAGAGACCGAGTGAGAGAGCGAGAAGGGGGTGTGATGCACCAAGGAGAAAGAAAGAAAGAAAGAAAGAAAGAAAGATGGAAAGTTTACGCAGAGGAGGCACCGCCTATAAAACCAACGGCGAAATATGTCTAATAATTCTACCTGCAGTGGTTTGGGTTATATGACCGCGAGACGACCTAGGTGCGTCAGGTTAAAATTCTATATACCGCCTAAATTCGAGATGTTTCTGTACTCAGCTAGGTTAGTATATCCTGATCGCTTTGCCTAGCCCTCGATTAGACCTAGAAATGTAATAGCGCCCTATTGTACATACAGTGACATTACGTAAGCAGCGCCATACACTGATGTCGGCCAGTCTAGCATATTGTGTTGGGGTACATATTACATGTACTTAACAATGTCACGTCGGCAATGAATTCCATTGTCGTGTTTTGTGCGGTAGCTACCACTTAGATCAGCCAGTGTCCGTCGTGTTCCGCGGTATGATTTAATTTCATATATTTGTTATATTAGACAAACACGCCGTCGTTTGTTAAGCGCTAGCATGTCTGCGCACTCGCTGGGGGACTCGGCTTTATGATATTTGCCAGTAGACCTATTGTGTTGTAATGGCGAATTCGTAAACTGTTGCGATTTGCGGGGTGTATAGCTGGTTCCAGACTGCACCTGCAGTCGGAAAAGTTATCGTCATGATATGCCCGTGAACGTTGTTGGTGACCGCTGCGTACGTGGCGGCGGCAACGTTCGAGAGTCGTTATAAGCAGAAGAACAGACGAGACACGATTGCCGAATTTAGAAGTACGAAGCGTGCCATCTTGCGTGACTTCGCAATCAGTTTTGAAATTTAAATGCAAAAATCTTTCAGCGATATAAAGTGCGGCGTATGGCATACCTATGATTCCACCATATAGTTATGAATGATTTTATGCCGAAGCTAAAAAGCCATGTGTGTTATGTTCCAGTGTTTCAAGCGAAACTAACCTTTCGTGGTTTTCTTCGGCAAGGCGTCCGTAAGCGCATATTTATTTGTAGGCACGCTGCTACCTAATTCGTTATTGCTGTCCCGTTCTCTATATAAAGATTACAAAAAGTTACAAATTGTGAAGGCAATACAACGATATTCCGACAAATTTCATATCATTCGAGTACCCATGATGGAAACAATTAAAGCACACCTAAGCTAGTCTATACTGCATTGAAATGCATCTGGGATTGGTCGGCTAGTAAACGAAACCTATCGGATCACAAACAAATTGACTGGAACATCATGTATTTCAAATCATCAGGCACATCAATTACCTTTGATGCAAACGTATGGGCAGCTTTTAATTTTAATCACTTTGTTTTGTAGTGAAACAACATAAAGCCATTAGGGTGTCATTAGTCCATTCAAGAATGGATTACGGATTACAATTCGCTAAGTACTTTTGACACATATTAATCATTAACATTTAAAAGGTAATCGTGCTTAATGTAGGACCTAGGTAGCAATCACTGTTTTAAACCAATTTAAATGTAGCATGACGGAGTGCCACAGTGAGCGGAAAGTGATGCGAGGAAAAGCTTGTGATCGAAAGGCTCGTTATTTCAAGTGTGCTACAAAATGCGGATTTGATTCTTATTCCAATCAGGTGTGCAGAGCAAGCAACCATCGCTAAAAGGTCACCACACTTTTCAGGAAGATATTTACTGTGACCATAGTGAATGTAATGCGCAAATGCATGTAATGCAAATGCAAAAGCATGTGAAACTGAAAGGTCATCAAATATAGTTTGTGGGCGCCTGGTAAAATGTCATATGTGAATCCAACACACCTTACTTTGTGAATCCGATGTACAGAAAACACTCCGAACTCT